ACATCCACACTTAAATAAAATGAAATTCATACAACCCATAGTAAGATGAAATAAAACATGTAAATAACCTAAATTGATTAAGTTTATTATATATACGTACCAGGAAGTTCATGGAACTTGCCTTAAGCCAAAATGATACATACATTAGTTTCAAACCATTTTCGAACGTTTTCATTATTCGTGTCCGAGGCAACACTCCTTCACTTCACAGCTCTGCAGCGCCTCTATTGCGATTGGCGAGTAAATCCGTTAAGTTTTAAACGCATGTGGAAAATATTTTGAGCAACGCATTTCAAGTGATATGGTTGTAAATAAAATACTTCAAAATGATAAATGTTTTCAATCCTGTACTTAAGCATCTCAAGCTAGACAACATATGTATTGACAATAATGTGTTTCGACTCCATTATAAGGCCACAGTTATATTGTTAATAGTGTTTTCGATATTGGTTACGTCGAAACAATACATTGGGGATCCTATTGATTGTATTAGCACTGCTGGTATAAAAGAGAGACTTTCAATACGTTTTGCTGGATCTTCAGTACTTATACTATTACTGATCATAATGGCAGTAAGTTGTTTAGCCTAATTAGTTATAGTATTGTTTGAACTCTAAAGATATGTACAATTGAAACTACATCTTCACTAGCAACATTTTGGTAACATTTTTGAAAGGCATAATGTACATGAGCTAAATATTATATTATTAAGCCAACATGATGAAATTTGGATACCCCAAGAATCATTATTATGCTGTCAAAATTGTAAAGTTTGCTAAATGTTCTATAGGCATTAAATAAAATAAATCCACACTTTAATTAATCACCATATTCCACTGTTGTATTCAACAATACTTTACGAGATTAATTATAGCTTAAAGTTTTTGAATACAATTCATACAAATTTTATTATGTGTTGTCTTTCTACTTGTCACTACTTGTGTATTTTACAGAAGTATTTGTTCTGATTTTAATCCACATTCTTACATTCATTTTAAAATATAGTGAAATATTGAGCCGATAAGATTTGTAGTTCTATTTATATTTTTAACTTAAATGTTTTTTGCATAATTTTTAGTTACACAAGAATTACATCACAAATACTATCAATGGGTTAGTATCGTGCTCGTCCTACAAGCTGTAATGTTTTATATTCCCAGATATATGTGGAAATGCTGGGAAAATGGAAGAATTAAGGCTTTAACTCAGGATCTCGGTAAGTTTGTTATAGAAATGTTTATTTATCATATAAAATTTTTAATGCATTTGAGATTTATGTATGAGTTTTAATGTTGTATTAAATTTGTTTTGATGTTGTATTAAAGCGTTTTAATTCAAATACACTGTGATATCAGTGCTTGAAGTATGTAATACAACTGGAGATTTTGAGAGAACTGATGTATCAGTTTATTTTTGTCTATAGCAAGTCATTTTCATGTTGCATATTATTATTGAAAATGAATGATATATTTATTTTATACAGTGGGTCCTTTAGTGTCTCAAGAACAATGGACAACCGCTAGGAGAAATTACTTGGTTAGTTATCTTTCTGAACTGAATAAAGCGACTCACGCATTTTATGCTATTCGATTTGTTATTTGTGAAATTCTCAATTTTGGAAATGTGGTATGTATTGCACAAATAAAATTTCTGCTATTTCAATGAGACAATGAAATAATTAGTTATAAAAAGTAGATGAAAGAATTAATAATCATGAGTCAAAATTATAACTTCACTCTCATATAAAATCTAACAATAGAACTATTTTATTGCAATATTAATAGAATTATTATTACATAAAGTTCTATAAATTGGAGTACTTGTAATAAAAAAAGAAACCTATAGTTTAGTGAAATAATATAAATGAATTAATCCACATCAAATTTTTCTCTGAGGTGGGACAATTCTTTATTGTTAATCTCTTCTTGGGTGGTGAGTTTGCAAATTATGGACCTGCTGTTTCAGTGTTTTTAAGTGAAAATATAATGACCAGCACATACTGGTCAGATAATGATCCTATGTCAAGAGTAAGTAAAATTATTTTACAATGCTCAGAGAGTAATAATTAATAATGAAATTTTTACTAGATATTCCCGAAGACAGCAAAATGTTCATTCACTGATATTGGTCCATCAGGAACTAAACAGATCAAAGATGCTTTGTGTGTTCTACCATTGAACATTGTTAATGAAAAGCTATATGCAGTTCTCTGGTTTTGGTTTGTCGGATTAGCATTATTGTCAGGCCTAGCTTTGATATATAGAGCAGTTGTATTCTGTTGTCCAGAAGTGCGAGTGTGGCTACTAATGGCTCAAACAAAGAAGTATGTAAGATACATAAATTTAAATAAATTCGACCACCAAGTACATATTTTTCTAGATTAAATCAGTCCTTTTTTATATTTATTATTATTATATTTTGTATAGCTCTTGAATTCATAAACTGTTTATTTATTGAGAATCCATTATATATCACACACGTTTTTCACATTTCTCTCTTCAATCACTACTGTAAAAATATTAACCATTTAATTATTTGCAGCATTTCCAAAGGTGTTATTCGCAATTTAGTATATTCATGTCATGTTGGCGATTGGTTTATTTTACAACAGTTGTATAAAAATCTACATCCAGATATATTCAGAGAGTTGATTAATGATCTGGGTTTGGAGGCTGATACGAAAACAGTCATACTGTGAACTAAATTATCAAAGTATTGATAGTGACGTATTTGATTGAAATTTAGAATGACTATGAAATCGTTGAATGCTCTGCTATAATACTCTTCTTTAAAGATATTCAAGATACAATTAGTTTAAAGATGTTATGAAGTGAATTGAGTGATTTTTATTTTTGTTATGTATCTGAAGAATATTTTATTTTTTACATTAAACTTTATAAATTTTGTACGTTTATAAAATATACAAACTCATTGAAAATGAAGCTTTTTAATTATTTTTCAGGTAAACTCATTTTTATTTATGGCAAATCAATAACAAAATTTGTCCTAATTATAATACAATTCCTAATTTTTTTTTATTTACCTTTCTTTGAATCTTATGTGTTACAGGCTGTAAGTTTCTTTATCATTAAAGTTTTAATAAAATCTATGGTCATGAAAATAAAATTTATATTTTTTGGTTTTAAATAATATTTGTACTAGAGCCATCACTTTCTTCTGCATCAGATTCCTTTTCATCATCGCTCTTTGCTTGATCACTATCGACCTCTTCTTCTTTCAAGCCTATGCTTTCAGCCTTCTCTACATATCTGAACATAACAAAATAAAATTAAGTGAATTCAAGTAATTCTAATTGTGAAAAAAATAAATATGTATTTGAATTATTATTGCTTACTTAACAAAGAGTCATAAAATGCAAACAATCTCATTTGCTCAGTTATAGCAGTATTTTCCTATTTAAATAGTTACTTTACATACTTACTTATTAATTATTTCCGGAATTTTATGTTTATTCTCATCATAATTTTTCTTAAGTTGATTTTTAAGAGAAGGATCTTTTTCAGCAGGATCAGTTTCACTTTGAAGATAATCTGATATTGATAAATAATAATCTGCTTGCCGCCTCCTCTGTAATTCACTTCCTATGTGCTCAAAAACTTTCCGGGCTAAAATATTGAAATCATTAAGAAAAATAAGACAAAAAAATGCCTTTTTATTTTACCTTCAAGTGCTTCAGCAGCATTACTCATTTTTAATGACTCTAGTTCATTGGACGATTTTACAATTTTCAGAATATCTTGATAATCAGGAAACTCCTTTTTTTTATTAACAAAATCTTGAACAGCCTTGTTAATGGATTGGTGAGTACTGATTGCTACATAAATTTTACGTTTTATTGCACGGCCCGCACTTGGCTGTTCACCAGTTATTTCACAGAGTTTATTGTAGATCTAAATCAATAAGTAAAAAAATATATTTCTTTATAGTTTCAACAACAAAGATTTAAATAATAATAATAATAATAATCATTATTTCAGCAGTGAAATGAAAACGTTCAATTGGAATTCCCTACATGAGTTTAAAATGCTAGGCCAAGCACATTATAGTTATATTTTGGCAATATAAAAACCCAGTTATTTAATTTTATGCATTAAATAATATAGTAACAAAAGAATTAATAAAAATAATTACTTTTATCATTCGACGTTCATATCTATCTTGTAGCAGATATGTAGAATCATATTCATCATCAAAATCAACTTCTTTTTCTTCTAGATTCTTTAATATCTTAATTATTTTTCTCAATGCACTTTCAAGTCTGTGAATTTTTTCTTCCTTATTTTTGCTTATGGGATCTAACCTGTTCTCATCATCACATTCAGTGGCACTTGTAGTACTTTCTGGTTTTACGTCACTTTTCTGGCCCGTAATTCTTCTATAAAATCTTTTATATACAAATAATAATTTTTACTGTTTATTATTGATTCTATAGATCGTTGAATTAAATCATAAAATGAATTCGATTTAATGTAATCTGAGTGAGCATTATTATGGTACTTTTGAATTTTCTCAATTATTAAATTCATTCGATCACTATTTTCAACTTCTTTACATGCTTGTAGAAAGTTTTTAAAAGCTTCATCATTTCTGTGAATTGCAGCCTCATTAATACTATTTGATTTTTCAGTTCGTAAATCTGCATTTTCCTTGATTGTTTCTGTCTTTACCTTTACCACAGAATTAATTGTTGATACTTCATTTATTTTTTTAATTTTATCTACATGATTTGTTGATTCTTCAGGTTTATCCTTGACGGATGCTATCAAAGGCAAAGTTCTCTCTTCCTTAAATTTACTCTTAAGTTCTAACTTGGGTTTTTTACTTGAAATTGGTTCTGTATCGCTGTCTGAATCTTCTATCAACGATATGATGTTTTCTTCTAATTTTTTTGGTGTAATATGTTTCTTATCAGTGATTTTACTATTTCCAATTACCAAATTATTTGATTTTCTAATGTTTGGTGTTACAGATATATTAATTTTTGTTGTTTGAATATCATTATTGCTTTTTAAAGACAATAATGGAACTCTTGCATTAACTGAACAGCTAACATTCTGGTGGTTTGTTTCTATAGATGAAGTAACAAATAACCTATCATTAGATTCAATTGTCTTTTGTAAACTATTGTTGTATTTACTTTCATCATCACTATCTTCAATGATTTCAATGACATCAGATGTTCGATGTTTCCTTAAAGTAAGGGTACAATCACCTATCTTTTTTATAATTCCATTTTTTTGATAATCAGCATTTTCATTTTTTGAAGTACTTTCTACATGGACTATAATTGGCAATTCAAAGCTCTACAAAACACAAATCAAATTTTAACTTTAAAAACAACTCTTTTATGTGGATAAATTAGTTTACCTTATTAGAATTGCAACTTTCGTTATCTGAGGAATCTGAGATAGTAAAAACATCCATAACCAGAAGCTGGAAATAAAACTAACACTAAATGAAAGATAAAATGTTGTAAATTAAATTATACCGAATTCACTAAAATATTCTTCAACATCTTAAAACAATTAAATAAAAACTCAGTTTAAAAGCATTATAGTACAACCACTTATCTTGCTTTTCACACCTGTCAAATTGAGCTTTATATTGTTCACTTGTTCGTTGTGACTAATGTCATATGAAATGACGTACGAAACCTCTCTACGCAGAACATTTTGTAAATTTGAAGCAACTAGATCCTGTTCCAACATATATATTTTTTATGCCTGCAAATGTTACGAGTACTTCATTTGGGAAGAAAATAAGGATTGTCATTTTTATATTCTGTTTAAAATTCCCGCTTTTGAATTCATCTCACTCATATCTCACTTCACAGATAGCGGCTGCCATCTGCTTGGACTTTTTCACATGCACAGTTTGCCATTCAACCATAATTCAACAATGGTTTGAATACAAGATTTCATTCATAAAAAAGGAGTTTTCTGATTATCAAAATATTCTCAAAATTGTAAAATCGTGCAATGAGCAAAAGTCACTAAAAATAATGGTGCTGTAGCACTTGAAGATAATGCATAATCACTTTTTTTCTAAATAATTTCAATCAGCAAGCAGTTTACTATTTATCAATATCAGATTATCTTCAAAGTGAAACGGATCCTAATACTGAAGAATATGCCTATGAAAAAATTTATGATGAGAATAAACATAAAATACTAGAAAAAATTTAGAAGTACATATCTATTTAAGTAGAAAAATATTGCTGTAACTAAGCTATTGGATTCTTGAATTACTTTGTGTGACTTTGTTAAATTAGCAATAAAAAGTAAAGAGTAAACTTAACGTATTAACTTATTTTCTTCACAATTTCAATTACAATTAGAATTCATTTAACTTTATATCGTTACGGCTTAAAAGAAGAAAAGCTTCAATAGTGATCAAGCAAAGAGTGACGATAAAATGCAATCTGAAGCAAAAAAGTGATAACTCTATATATATATATATATATATATATATATATATATATAACTGTAAAGAAATACACATTTTATTTTTATGACTAAGGTTTTACCTTTAACTTTAATGTTGAAGAAATTTATAGCCTGTAAAGTTTGAAGATTCGATAGTTAAACCAAAGAAATTGGGAATTGTAATTGATATAATAAATTTTGTATGATTGGTTTGCCATAGTTAAAAATGAGATCAGCTGAAAAATAATTAAAAAGCTTCACATTCAAGAAGTTTATATATTTCATAAATTTACAAAATTTATATAGTTATTGTTAAAAATAAAACATTCTTCAGAAAAGTAAAAATAGAAATCACTGAATTCACTTAATGACATATTTGAAAATTAATTGTATCTTGAATACCTTTAAGGAAGATTATTACTGCAGCGCATTCAAGGATATCGTAGTCATTCCTAATTCTATCAAATACGTCATAATATTTTGATAATTTAGTTCACAGTATAACTGTTTTCTAATATATAATATATATGAATGTAGGAATTTATACAAATGCTGTAAAATAAACTATAGTAGTATATAGATTATAATCTGCAGCATGACATAATATACTAAACTGCAAATAAGTTTTTTAGAAATGCTGCAATTTATATATAATAGTATTTTTTACAGTAGTTATTATTAAAGACAGAAGTGTGAAAAATTTTAAACAACAAAATATTAACACTACAAATAAAAATTTCGAAAACTTTTGAATTATGTTTCGCCGTAATGATTTAGGTAAAATTATTTCCCGAACATCGCTTGCTGATTTGATAATTTACAAATGATAATCGAGCAATTTTATGCATAAAAAAGTATTCAACTCACATTGTAAATCTGGGCCTCTGTATATAAAACATTTTCTTTCACTTACACTATACACGTGATTAGGCTTTTGGAATTGTCCAAGTAAAATCTTTGCACATTACACGACACAATGCTAATATTAAACCAGATAGCTCGAATATATCATTTAAACGATATGGTGCATTAATTAATTGAGACAAGCTTTGAATTTAATTAAATATTTAACAAACCACATGCACATTGACAGTAAAATCTGTTAAGACAACGTCAAGAGCAAATGCCACAGGGCTGCCACCTTTATTCAGATGCGATGAAATAAAAGCGCGAATTTCAAACCGAAAATCTAAACTATAGATCTAAACATCGGACTCACTAATTCGCAAATAGTAACTCATTATTCTTGGTATTCACATCAATATTTTGAATTAATATCTCATGGATCTCATGATTTTTAATAAATCTTCATACATAATTGTATTTGAAATCACATACTTATATTATAATTATACACTTGAAATTAAAAAAGAATCGAACACGATATCCAACTAATATCTCATTTTGGACAGTATTTGAATCGTTTCTTATATATGATTTTAATTTTGAAAAACAATGAAAGATTTTTGGCTAAAACGTGAATTAAATATTAAGCACTTTTCTACTAAAAATGAAGAAATGGCTTGGCCGATTATCGCGCAGAATTGATAACACAAATTATTATTGAATGATAATCAATGGTTTTTATATCAATGGCTAATATATATATATATATATAAACTTATAAATATTATATCTACAAGACAAAATGACTGATTAAATAGTTTTTTTATTAAATAAAGTTGTTTGATTATAATTTTATTATAATAAAGCCATTTCACCAATGAGTTCATTTATTGAGTCACAAAACAGATAGACTATTATCTGGAGGCTCTTTAATTTTTGGTAAAGTATAATAATTACATCCAAAAATTGCTAATTGAAAGGAGTCCTTTCAAAGGACTGAAAGCTAATCATAAGATTGCTGTTTTCAATAATGGTATTGAAAGATATTAGAAAAGGCTATATATAATACTCCCGTTGTTAAAATATTTCATTTATGGAAATAATTGTATACTTAATTACTTATTTTCTGAAACTGGTTGTTATAATAACATGCCAGTTATTGATTGATTGATTAAAAACTTTAGATATTAAATATAACTTACTTCGAATTTGCCCCCAGTTGGTAATTCTGGTATTTTGGTAAACTCGTACTATGCTTATTATTGAATTTAATACTGCAGGTTCCAATAATCTGAAGAAGCTATCACCATTATCCTGTTGGTAATCCAAACTTCGTATAGCAGCTGCTTGCCACAATACCATTCCATGTGTTTAATCCAGTTTAATGTGCTTCCTACAATTGATAGATATCTAAAACATCGTTACAAAATCTTAAGTTAGTTGCTACATATATGATTTGTATTTCCATTTTATTATATCTAGATAAATTTCCACCATCAATAATTTTACTACATAAAATCTGATGCTATAATTACAGAAGGTGCTATTGCAGGATCCTTCACACACTGTCATATCAAATCATCTGTAAAAGTAGCTGAATATACTTATTGCATAGTTTGCTACATAAAGTATCTTATCTTATCTCAAGTTTACAAAGGCTACCATAAATAATCAAAGAAACAAAAACAAATCCAGCTGGATATACTTATACAGTGAATAATTTCATAAGTCGCTCTTTCAAAAACTGCTAATTGTAAAACTTCAATTATTGATAGAAATCAACTTTTATTATTCAATATTCTAACTTAATATTGAACGGCCATCAATTAAAACTTGCTGCACAATTTTTTTCTAATAGCTTTGTTCACATTGTTCTGTCTTGATTCAGCTATGTCAGTGATAATATTTAATCAATTATAATATTCACAGAGCATATTCAATATTAAAATATTTTATTTGGCTTACAGTAATCCTGGGATAGTATCTTCTCTTAATTATACTGTTTTTGTTTGTTCGAAGCATTTTGAAATTGAGATTGATGTTGATACAAGATTTCTGCAATAATGTTTTCAATAAATGTCTTATTTCTTTCTTATCAATTAGAATCCTATACTGCATTATTACTACTTGATTACATAGAGCACTTTCCTAAAGAATTTACTATATTCATTATGCCAAAAAAAGCAATATATTTTTACTTACAAGAGCGCTGTACTTGTCTTTTATAAATCTCTTCAGTTGATTATATTTTTCTTCTATTCAATATGTTTCTCCTTTTTTTCTTATAAACTGGCATTATAAAATGAGCGATTAGAAATAATAAAAAAACACAAATACATCAAACCTTTAATAATTTAACCTTGCCATGCATTCGCTTTGACGGCTAAACAATGAATGTTCGTCATGTTGGTCGAGCTGTCAAAATGTATCCGGCGCGCAGCATCATAAATAAAAGAAGAGTATAAGCATAGATAAAAGAAGAGTATAAGAATATATTCAAAACGGAGCCAACCAATCACAAAGCAGGACGTAACTTAACAAGAAACCAGGACCGCATTATGAACAACTTTAAATATTTTAAACAAATATGTAAACTATTTTGCAAAGTCGAAATTCTTATAACAATTGCTTTTAATATGTTATTACCTATATACATTTCTTATTAAAGATTATACTATAACTAACTAATAGCAAAATAAATTTTATTTTGTTTTGTTTAACTAATTACAAACTGGCAGATTTTTACCAAAAACTAACTAGCACAATTCTGAATGAATATATTCATATATGTTTTGAACTGTTGTTGAATTTTAAAATCAGTTTAAGGTTTCTAACTAAATCGTGGACGAATAATTTTGCACATTTCTGCTAATTATAAAAAAAGCACCAGCGATCATCGCGCAAAACTAATCAACAAGTCCTTATTGAGCGGCAACTAATGCTTTTTAAGTTTTTGAAATTGGTACAGCCGTTTCTTAGAAAACGTCGACAAAACACGGTTCACATGTACACAAACAATTAAACTTCGCAATTATTGTATGATTTCTTTTACTTTTTTGCAATGCTTACACAATATTATTACCTTGGAAATAATATCCCCATCACCAAAACATATTAAAACATCCCAAAACAATAAAATGCATTTTTATTTAAAAAGTATTCAAAATAATTACCCCTTACGTACCAGCAGACGGCCCTGCGCAATATGAACGCCAAGCCAAATCCGAAAATGCTTATGTTCCCCTGGCAGAATGAATCGCTTTTGGGCGAGATTTTGTATGGAAATTAAATTTTGCATAGATTTTTCGAACTAGAATCGACCAAACTACCAGGGGAACAGACACTATTTTAACTTTGACATAGCGCTCATATATTACAGAGCCGTCTGCTAAAATGTTAGGGGAAATTAATTTAAGTATTTAGTTTTTGAATAAAATAAGAATAGATATGCAAATGAATGTATTTAATTAATAAAATTGATAACTATGCATGATTAAGTGTTTATAATTGGATTAAAATTAATATTTGTATATGACTATTATTGTTTGCCAAAAATAACCTGAAATATACAATAAAATGCACATAATTTCATAATAAAAGAATCAAATTAAATTATTTATACATTTAACTAGCAAAACTTAGTTACATATATATATAAATTAAAAACTAATATATAAATTGTTCTATGTATAATAAGATACATCTGATAATATTCTCTTCCTATTATTATATATCAAATATCACACTTGATTGCAATTGTAAAATTTCTATTAAATACATATTATTATTTCTATTATATATTGCAATCTTGAACGATGCTCTTAACTTGTTTATAAGCACTTCGAAAACATTTTCATTTCTTTGATAAAAATATTTTTCAATAAAATAAATATGGATCTTTAAGTTAAGTACAAAATAAAAAATAATAACAGTAAGTAACAGCTTATATACTATACTAGATACTAGTATCTAATAGAAATAAGTAAAAATTTATAACTAATATTATACAGACACAATTTTATTAAACGCACACACATTCTAAGTTTAAATTTTAGAAATAACTAAGTTACGATTAGAATTGTATATACAATTTTTATTGCCAGAACGTTATTGCACTTTTATTATATTATTATTAACCATATTAACATATTAATTCAATTACTATCAATTAAGATTTACATCTCAATAATACACATATTGTATTGATCATGGTATAAAAATTTCAGTTTTAAACAGCTTCAAACAGTGTTTAAAAAATTCTATAGAGATCATTTACAAAAAACACTTGATTTTAATTGATAAAAAGTTATTTATCATAAGAATTTTATAAAGAACATCATATATATCTAAAGCATTCACATTGTCGTCCCACTTCTTCTTCTTGAAAGTTACAAAGGCAACGGGATATTTTATCTTCCTAGTTAGTCCTTTGTAGCCTCTTCAAGATGTCGACATATTGTTTCAAATCAAGTTCATCAATAGGTGTTAATGTAAGCAAATAACGTGTGCATCGGGTCTGTTTGAAACTGTAAAAGGCCCAGGTAAAGGTATTCCTAAAGTCTGCATTGTAGGTGGTCGACTGTGATGTTCTAATTCAGAACATACTCAGGATGGTCTATCACAGGATTCTTGGAATCTCCTTCAATAGAAAAAATTGAGTTGTATTAATAAATAATAAATAATAATTAATTAATTAATAAATAATATATCATATCATAAAAGTATGAATTATTTTTGTAAATGAAAGGCAGCAATCTACAATTAAACTATTGGCTAAAATATATTTAAAATTTATTAAGTTGATTCAATTATGTATAAGGTGTATATATAAATTATTTGATATGAACAAATATTATATATATTGGCAAAACTATAGTAATGAAAAGGCGTTTATTTGTTGAGGAAGTAACAATGTTTCTTCTTCTACTTTCATAAAGGAATTGAACTTTTTATTATGATTAGACCTGTAAATTGAAAATATTAATCAATCCAGACCAAAAATTTGGTGAATCGATAATATGAAAGGACTCTCACCCTCAAATTTATACCTAATTCATTTGATTTCAAAGAAAATTCATGGTTTGTTTTAACTATTTTATTAACAAACTGTAAAGTGTACAATTTATAAGATCCAAATAGCTTTAACCACCCCAAATTAATACAATGAATGTTGTTATTTGTCATGACAATACTATTTTACTATTCTTCCATTTTAATAGTAATTGATCATGCTTTTTATGAGACACTGATAATATGCGAACTTAACTCTCAACATTTATTATGAATTATTATGCTAAAATATAATATATAAGTATATTACTTTAAAATATTTTAATTTAAGAAACTTTCAAAATAAAATCTCTTATTTATAATTACACAAATAACATATATTGAATACTAAAATTTATATTATCCACAATTTCAATATGAATTATTTACAATATTAAATGCTAATAATATATGTATTATTAATATAAAACATTTAATATATATATTCAAAAACGTTCAATAAAATTTTGACAATTTCATATACAAAATATGATTTTTAATTTATGCTTAATATTAGCATAGAATAGACAACCCACTTTTAAAATATATATTTTCTTATCCCTAAGAATGAGCATATTGCAACAATTAAGTGTATATTATACCTATATGGTAGGAGCACTTTTTTAGTACTTTGGTCCTCATACTCATGATAATGATAATTTGTACAATATTAAATCATAAAACAAAGTTGTATGGTGTTATCAACTTAGTAATTATAAATAATTATTTACACATTGTATCGTGCCAAACATTAAATTATTTACATAAACATATTACATTAGAATGAAGTATAGCTTCAGAAACAACGCTACAATTCACACCGACATTACAACAGATTTCAATTACTACATTTACATTTACTTAAAATTAGTTGTCCATAAGGCACAATTTCAAATTTGGCCTTTTCTAATTGCACTTGGGTTCATTTAACATAACGAATCAAAAATTTTGAAACAAATTTTGGCTAATAAGTTTTCTTTGACTGAAATTCTCACTGCTTATAGATCAAAATAACAAATTTGATATTAAATGTGCTTATTCAATGGTAAAGCAATACCTAAATTCAATTACAATTTGTTAATAATTTTAGATTTCAGAAGTAGTTATAATCAAATATTTATTTATTTAAATAGAAAAAAACGCCAATTCACACATATAAATTTTTATCAAAAATTTTTTGAATAGTAAAAAAACATTATTATTTATCAAAACAATCTGTACTAAATATTTCTGAATATCTAATGCAGTTACACTTTGTAGCAGGTTTTTAATTGACTTCAGAGAACTTCTAATAAAATACTTTTAATTAATATAAAATCTTCTTAATTCTGGACATTTTGAATAAGAACAAAATATATTTATTAGTTCTCAATAGCTTTATAAAATAGCAAATTTAACTAAATCTTTCATTGGAATGTAATATTGGAATAAAATGACGGAAGACAGAAAATATCAGTTTTAGTTTATTACTAAAATAATATCAAAATCATTCCTGCCGATATGGAACACACATATATCATAAAATTATAATATTTTACTTATCAAATTCTGTTAGCTTGGTAATCAGAACCTCATTGAGGTTCAATAAATATATTTTTAATCAATTTATAAAGGTACAGGTTTCACATCATTGATAATTGTACATTTTTGTGTTATATTTATGTTCCATACATAATGATTATTTCAGAATGAATAAATAGAAATCGTCTTTAAAATTAGCTAAAATTAATGAATGTTATAAGTACAATCAAATATATTAAAATATTATATTACAGCATATATGCACAGCTTAACTTTCATAAACAAAAGAAAAAGCAGATTGAATTAAAATAGTTATAAAAATAGAATAAAATCATCTTCATATAAATCTCTTCTCACAAATAAATTATTTAAAATTCTTAACTAAGCCAATAAAATGACATGGTCATATTAAAATATTAATCTTACTGTACTAAAATTTATAAAATTATTTAACATTTAAAAATCTGGATTATATTGCATCATATATATATCCAATTTATTTAATGCGAGCTATATTGCTATTGCACTCGATTCTGACAATAATACTCGTCTTATAACAAAAATACTCTGAAGACTTTACAAAGCTTCAATAATGTATTTAATTTAATCCTGACTTACTTTTTGTGCTGTCTACTAATTATAGCTTGTAGTTTCGCCAGTTGACTAATAAGATTAGCATTAGAATCTTCTAATTTCTCGACTCTTTTTCTGTAATCACAATTTTCTGATACAAGGACTTCCACTTTTCTTTCCAACTGGTCCATATATTCTTTCTTTTTGCGTCGACTTTCTTGAGCTGATATCTAATAATAAAAAAACAAACTTACTTAATATAGAATATAAATTATGTATAAATGCACTTTTAAATAAATTAACACGCGATTCAAATACAACATTTCACTTTAAATAACAAAAGACACATAAATTTACATGGCTCATTCAAGTTTTTTACTTTTCTTAATAAATAATTTGTAGAAACTATTAATTCATTTAATACCTTATTTTTAATTTTCCTTCTTATCTTTTTTAGTGACTTTTCTTCAGCTTTTGTAAGTGGTAACCTGGTTGGTATAGGGTAGCCCTCTGCTAAAAGTGTTCGTTTTTCTTCTTCGGTCAAAATTAAAACACCTGTTGATCCTTTCTGTAAACGAAAAATGATTTCTATTGAAGATAGTTGTTTTCAATTAAGTAATAAATGAAATATTTAAATATTAATAAAATGAATTACACTATGAAATAGATTAGCATTTTATATTTTAAGTTTTAGCACAAGTATAAAAATATCTTTATCGTTACTTCTAATATCTGAAAGACTTATCAATATCGTGTCGTATTGAATACAGACCAGATAGGCAAACAATTTTAGTTGTAAGTGGCATTTTGCCTTAAGGCAATTTGCATAAACTTCTCGATTTGTGTAAATAATCAACTTAATCAATATGAAATAATAGATTTATATATATACAGAGTTGTTAAACCTACATATAGTTTTAGAAACTATTGATGATTATGGATTTTTATAAAATTTACATTCAAAAAATAGTTTAAGTGTTGTAAATTTTTTAATCATCTAGCTAGATCATCATTTCAGGTTTAAATACTTTTTATAGTCGTTTAGCTACTTTTCGCAAGCCTATAATAATTTAGGCAGGCCTATATTTAATTTATACAGTTCGACCGATTCATACCAAGTACGATTCCCAAATGATAACTTTCAGTATTGGAATTTTTGAAATAGCTTCAGGATTTTTTTAGAAAAAAATAAACAAAAATTTTTGCGATTTTGAGAAAATGCCCACGAAAGTTCAAAATTTGACTCAAATACTCACACATTCGTCATGTTATAGTAATGGTAAAAAAATCTAATATGAAAATTTTTGCATATCTTTAGGTTTAAAGGCTTTCTGAAGGTTTTGGCATACCTCAGAAAAAATTAATGCATATGTGTGTTAGGATACAATTTTTCGTATAAGATTTTCTAAAAACTTTAAAAATGCAGAAATTTTAAAATTCTCTTAAATGCTTGGAATAAATAAGTTTAACTTTGCAATCCAATTTTTAACTGTTTTATGATTCAGGACAAGGATTAGGTTTTGTTTATATATTTTCGTGTAAACATGAATAAAGGTCGTCACTCAATATAAGCACTTATGTTAGATCTATAAAATACGAATTATGAAATTTACAGTATTTATAATAATTATTCAAAAATATTAAACAATGGTTATTAATTAATGATCAAATTTGAATTGATCATAGATCATTTTTATACTTCGAATATTTAATTAAGGTACGGGAATTTCCAGCAATTTGCCTTAAGGCACAATGCCATGCACCACTAGTTCTAATTGTGATATCAAATAATAGAGAAGTACTGTAATCGCAAAAAAAATCGAAAATGAAAATTTTTATATATCTTTACATTTCAAAGGTTTCTGAATATTTTGGCATACCATTAAAAAAATGGATGCATGTGTGCGTATGCAAATTATCGTCGACGATTTCGGGAAAACCTCAACCGATTTGAATAATTCAAAAAACATTCGATTCGCATTGATAAGAAGACGTCCTGATTACTTTGGCAAAGGCAGGTCTAGCCGTTCCGAAGATACAGGAAAAAAGGTGCCAAAAACGGTAAATCAGTTTTTAAGAGAACGGAGCGTCCGATTTGAATAATTCAAAAAACATTTTACTTGTATTGACAAGATGAAGAACTGACTAAATTTTTAGGAAGGCAGGTCCAGCGGTTATGGACTCTCAATAAAAATAAATTAGAAAAATGTCATTTGGCGGTCAAAAATGTTTATTGGACAAATGTACATCAAATTATCAGATATTTTATAGAGACTTTAATAATGTACAAATTTTGTGTAATTTTTTTTGGATTCCGTACCAAAATTTTTAATTACGGTACGGGAAGTTCCAGCAATTTGCCTTACAGCACGATGCAATGCACCCCACTAGTTTCTAATTAATTTTAAATTTCATTTTCCTTGACTGTAAAAATATACTAACCGGTTGGCTGCTGATGAGGGGAGTGTGAATAGGCTGACGAGTCGTATGTGCAGACTGATTCTGGTGATAGAGGCGAGATCCGGCATGCTGGGGCCTCCTCGATGTCGTGGTCGTGGTATTCGTCGATGCAGGCGGCGGTAAAATTTCATGTTCCGGGGATAAGTTGCCTTCGCTGTCCGCGTCACTACTCGTACTGGACGGAGGCGTCGGGGGTGAACCGAAGGCTAGAAAATAAAAAAAATCATTAAATAGACAGAAAATATAATTGTACTAGTACTAATGTAATACTATACTAATTCTGATGTGATGCTATACCAATGGTTCCCAACCTCTCCCCAGTGGCGGATCCAGCTTTGGCGCCAGGGTGAAGTCACATTATTAAATTATGTATAGAAAATATATTCGCAATACGATTAGAAAATCCTTAAATTTTAGGAGTGTTTGACTCCGCCGTTCGTCTATAATAAGTTACATATTGAAGTTATAAAATGTGTTTGGTAACAAAATACATAAATAAAATCATTATGAAGTAATTTTATTGCTAAATTAGTGTTCTATCTATGTCTTAAGACAAACTCAAAAATGGGTCATAACACCCTGGATCCGCCACTGCCTCTCTCTACAGCGCCCTTCATTTTTAATAAAAAAAAAGTGCGCGTAAGGTTCACACGCGATTGAAGTAAAACTTATTTGCTACTGTACAAAGTAGCAAATTTGAGTTAAGTAAAAATAATACATATATAACAATTTTGAATAATGTTTATAAGTAATATGGTGACACTCGTGATGCACACATTTATTAGTGTCAACGATTATACACATTTATATAATGATAAATTATAATTATATATTTATAATAGCATTAAAAATATGTATAATATTTAAAAACAATAGTAATTAAAGTCATACTTCAAATATGATATGATCGGTTTGTCATTGTAATTAGCATTTAGAAATAAACCTTCATTAGAAAAATGAAGTAATTGCTGATTGATAAATTCTATAATATTCGTTCACATAGTGGATTATGTTAAACAACGCCTAAACAAATATTGTTTTCGCAACTTTACTCATCATGTAATTATGTTTGAAGAACTCATGTAATTGAAATTAACATACATGCATGGCGGTATAATCTCATTCTTTGAACAGCTGTAATATCTATCTTGCCTAAAAATGTTTTCCATTTTAATAAATTCAAAGATTTATAGAAACTACGAATAATATAGAAATGATTTCTAATCAATAAACTTACGTTTAGTTTACGGCACAAATGTTTCAATTGTTTATTATTTTCAAGGAACAGGGTAAAATATTCTTCTGACTCAGGCATTTTTATTAAATCAAGATTTGTACTACGATGTAACTTTAAAATGTTTATTTATCTATGCCGATTTCCTTGTTGATATCGGTACGCATACAACGTTGATGCCGGTACGCATACAACGACAGATGTCTATTCACATGCACGACGACTAATCATAATCGACCCGTATTGAAATGATTTCATCGAGAGCGAATGACGTACAGTTCTGGCGTAACGCATTCCGTTGCATTTGTACGGATTTGTGGCGGACATAGCTCAGAGGTAGCATGTCCGACTCACATGCCGTTGGTTCGATTCCTGGCACTTTCAAATGTAAAATATTAAAAATGTATGAGAATTTCAATTGTAAGATGTATGTAAAAAATGGTTAGAATGTATAAGGTATTACAATGTATAAACATTGAATTAGAATTGAAAATAAAAAAAATGAGATAGTAGAAAGAAGTAAGAGATAAAAAAAGGGAAGAATGAAGATTAGTTGAACTATGTAGAAGAATAGGATTTATGTGAAGAAGATAAGTTGAAGAAAAAGTATATAGTATAAAAAGAATATAATCTATATATAGAGGAATATGATTTACACCCTAGTCACGTCCAAAGAAGTTTTACTTCAAAAATTCCGCTCCTCAATGTTTCTAACAATCTAATTTCATATATACTCAACTGATGTGTGTATGTATGTATATAATAACTTACTGTATTGTGCGTGACGACTACTCCTGCTTCCAATTGACTTGTATCGGAGTAGGTTGGCATCGGGAATGGATCGAAGACGGATTTATGGCACCGAATAGGGCAGCACTGCGAGAGAGTTGGCGACAGGACACCGAAGAGGCTGTCGTCGATCGCAGGAGACTCTGCTGCCTATTTTGATTACTGTTTGCTGAACTTACATTTATATTTCCATTGTTATTGCTGCCGTGACCGCGTGTGACTTGAATGTAGCCGTCTGTTAAAGAAAACATAACAAAATTAAAATCACATGCTTAAAAAATATAACAAGTAGTATTATTTTCAACAAGCTTGTTTTTTTTAGTTTTTCGCTGGCGTTTCATTCTTTGAACAGTTATAGTATCTGTCTTGCATATAAAAATAATTTCCATTTTAATAACCTCAAAAATATATAGTAACCACGAATAATACAAATTACTTATATGAACTTACGTTTATTTGCACTATAATTATTTATGGGGGACGCGATAAAATATTCTTCCGATCCAGACATTTTTTATTAACTCAAGATTTATACTAATATTTAAGCTTAAAATGTAATGACATTTAACACCAAAAAATGAACAATATGCTTCACGCTTTCGGTGACGTACGCACATATAAAGTCACGCATACAAAGAAGCCTCGCACAAATACGACGACCATCAGAATCGACTCGTATAGAAATGATATCATCGAGAGCGAATGACGCATCATTGGCACTCGACCTTGGCGTAACACACTTCCGTTGCATTTGTACGGATTTACACCCTAGTCGCGCCTAAAGAAGTTTTATTTAAAAAAAAATCTAAAAATTATTTGTGCGTGAGTAGTCTGAACAAATTGTAATTAAATTCATGATTAATTGTGAAAACTATATCGATTACTACTTACATTATGATCGAGTACAAAATGTTGTGCCTCTGGTCCTTCTTCGGTGTCTGGCGAATTGGCTCGGCTGGAATCAAGGCTGTCCGCATCGTCGCTAAAGGGTTCCTCTTTTACGGTGATCGGTGAATCTGAGTTGGCTGCGGTGTCGTCACAACGGCTCGTCGCGAATTCCATCGGTATCGTCGCAAAACATTCGTCATCCATATCTACGAAGAGAAATAGAATAGGACATACCGTTAGTAAGAGATAAGGTGAGATAAGATAGTATTAGATAATTATTGATT